TGATTTAAAATAATGTTTAACATTTTTTTGTGAGTTTAGGAATTTTCTACTGTAAAAAAAATGCCAAGCTGCCTTCCCTACCCACATACCCCACTTTCAAAATAGGTGAAATATTTATCTCTCCCTATGACGAGACTAGTTGTCCCTGAATTATACTCTGATAACACCAAGTGTATTCTCAATGGTAGTGTTTATTAGGCTATGGAATTATTTCTGGTTATTTACCTTTTTTTTTTTCTGACTCTCAGGTCAAATCTCATAATATTTTATCAACACTGTACCACCAAAACCTTGTAACAAGGTTAGGCAGTTTTGTAAAGGGGTTAAAATCGCAGAATTGAGTAAGGACAAGAAAGCCTCTTTAGCTCTTGCTACTTTCATGAGCTTGATTGAGTTTCTTAATTTTTTCAGGTCTCAGTTTCCCTCTCAGCTTGTGAATATACACCTGTACCTCATAGGGTTGCAAAGATTAAACTATTTTTTATAGTAAATATATCTTAGTAGCTGCTACTATTTAGTTAATATTAATTCAATGACAAATTGGCATGAGTTTAGTAATGTTAAAATTTGTTTTATTTTAAAAAATAGTTTAAAATTCTGGAAATAGGATGCATGATATCAACATATTACATTGCCTCTAGAATTAATATAGGAAGAATACAGGAAAGAAGGAAAAATATTCACCATGTTTTCCTGCCTTATCAATTTGAGATCTGTGATTTGTAAAATGCTATGGAAATTTAGAGAAGGAGAGATTGCATTCAGCTGGGAATAGCAGGAATGAGTGCTTTGTGAAGAAAATGCTATTTGGTTTGGTTAATTGAATCTATAGTAGCTGAACACTGATGTGGACATTCCTACCAAAGGCAACTGAATACACAGAAGGGCCATGAAGGAATAGTGAGTACAAAGGTGTTTGGGACAGTGGATGGTGTATGTAGAGGAGAGTGAAAGATAACAAGAAAAAAGAAGTTTGATCCAGAACGTAGAGAACTGTGAATGTTAGGATGAGGTATTATTGAGTAAGGACATTTTAAATTGGGAGACGAGTGGGGAATGAAAAGATACTGAGTTTTATAAACAGGACAATAAGTTATTATAGTTATGCTTAACGGGAAGTAAGATGACAGTGTATAAAGTGAATTATAATTTGACTTCTAGGCAGATATGTTTAGATAATCTGTTTATCCCCAGTATTTTTACTTTTGGAAATAAGATTTTCACATTTGCTGGCAGGAAACATGGGTCACCTTGAAAAATAAGTAAGCTTCATTTAAAAAAAAAAATTATTGAATTTATTGGAGTGACATTGGTTAATAAAGTCATATAGGTCTCAGATGTACACTTCTATAATGCATCATCTGTATGCTGTATTGTGTGTTCACCACCCCAAGTCAAGTCTCTTTTTAACACCATACTCCCCTTTAACCTCTTTTATTTCCCCCACCCCACTTTCCCTTTGGTAATCACTGCCCTGTTGTCTGTGTCTATGAGTTTATGAGTATGCTTCACTTAGTGCAGATATTCATTCTATTGGGCAAAGTCCACAATGTGCTTATTCTGAAATATGTCTGAAATAACTGTAACTGGTGTGAGCAGACTTGGAAATACTGCAATTAAACTGCTGATGAGAGTTTTCCAGATGTTTGCTGTAGTTTAATATGCTTTATTGCCATTTAATCTCCGTTCAAAACATTTAGATAGTCATTAAAAAAACAACAGTGCTAATGCTTCATAAATATAAATCTCATTTACAGTCAAACTAGTGGAGTGGTTGGAAATTTGACTCTTCCATTTTGTGATGTAACTGTTTTTTAAGTACAGCTTTTCATTGATTTGTGCCACTCAAACTCAAATGCATCTGTCAACCAATTGCAAGGTCAAGTACGATGGCAGAGGATCCATTGAAGCTTTTGCTGTATCAAAGGCTCTCTGCCTTGTGAACTGTTTGGTGAATTATGTTTCCTAAAATCAACTGGGCCACAAATATGGGGTGTCATGAAGAATGTTGCCTTTCATTCTTTAGTTTTTTTCTGAACAAAATCACATTACCTGAGCTCACAAACTAGATCGAAACCTCCTGCGGTAGTTTAAGATCATCGAATAGACAGAAGGCCATTGGGGGCATTGGGAGACATGTTCTGTTGCACTTTCTGATGTCCACTTAATCATCTAGACAGAGTGACATTCCTTTTTACTTATTAGAAATGTAAATTATGCAAGTTGTCCTATTACTTTTATCTTAGTAAAATCTTCATGTTAGAGAGCTGGATAGTTTAAATTCTTAACCTGTATTTTCTATGAAGTTGAATTTCAGTTATCCTTACTAGACTATTGGGGTGATCATTCTATAAGTTATAAATATCTAATCACTATGTTGTATACCTGAAGCTAATATAATATTGTATGTCAAATGCAAGTGAAAAATACAAAACAATTGCCCTGGCCTGGTGGCTCAGTTGGTTGTAACATCCTCCTGTACACAAAAATGTTGCAGGTTTGATTGATTCCCTGTCAAGGCACATACCTAGGTTTCAGGTATAATCCTCGGGGCGTGTACGGAAAGCAACTGAGTGATATGTTTCTCTCACATCGATGTTTCTCTTTCTCTTAAAAATCAATAAACATATCCTTGGGTGAAGATTTAAAAAAATTAAAAAAATCTTTTCTATTTACAATAATAAAATAATGTAGATATATTAATAGGCAAGAAACAAATATCACATTTCGCTGAACTGAGTGCTATTATTAATAGCTTATGTATCCCAACCACAAAAATGTGTGATAATTATAATACCTATGTAGAAACTTTTACTATCCCAAGAAAACATATTTAAAAACTGACCCAATGATGTGTTGATACTTAACGAATAGAGCAGGTTAGAAGCATAATTTCTTCACATCAACTGGAAAAATGTCTTGTTTTTATATTTCTAATATGTAACATTTAGACCAATTAATAAGAAAGGAAGATCCTCTGAGACTACATTTATATATCACCAATCTCACACAACAGATGAATTCTTATCTTTTGATTTAATTTTATTCTGCATTCTGGGTACCAATTAAAGGACTTTGTATCATTTCATAGGTTGGCTATTTTAGGAGACAAATTTGACTGCTTTAACAGTTCCACTGACACTTACTAAGAAAGTGGAAAAGTGCACTTCCTTAAAAATTAAAAATCGTTAGGAATATTCCTTTTAGGGAAAAAGATAATTATCAGAATGTGGCTTTTTTGTTCATTCTATAGCACTGCGTGATGATAATTGGAGAATAATGCCATCAAAGTTCAAAGAATAATTAGAAATCAGAACAATAATTTGAGTCTTTTTGTTTTAAACTAACCTTGAAGGCTGGACTCAGGTTCTTGTATAGCTGACTTGTGGCTGCTTATTAGCTGCGTGATGTTTATCAATTCATTTAACATATGCAACTAAATTCTTCATCTGTACAATGAGCCTCATGACCTGTTTTGCTTCTATGTGTAAAAATTTAGTGAGATAACATACATAAAAATACTTTGTAAGTGGTCCTTGGGAAATATGCATCAAAGCACTTAGTAATTATTATTAGCTTTCAAAATGAGTATACAGACAATCATGTTCTTCATTTATCTTCAGTTTGTTGATCCTTATTTGTAAAAGAAAAAATTAATTAAACTTATAAAAGGTAATTTAGAGAATAGATCAATCTGCTCATTTTAAGTAAGAATCTAAAAAAGATTAAGTGGCATCTTTTGGAAGATTGGACCCGAGTTTCTGTTTATCACAGTTTAGAGTCATGGGAAGCAATTTCAAGTTGACACGTCCCTTTGCTTTCTAGGGACCTGTTCACACAAATGGAGGTTATATTAGCCATATTATAAGTTATTGTGTGTGCTTTCTTTTTCTACTACTTGTTCTCTCGACATCTCATTACCTTATAATGTATTTACAGATTATTTGGCAAGGAGTGAAAAGTCAAAATGATCATTATTACTGTCATTTGGCAATCTTTGAGTCATTTAGTACTTTTTTAATTGTTTAGCACTTTTAAATTCTACCTTTTATTGGAGTTCATTGTTACAAATCTCTTCCACAAGACTGTAAACATCTTGAAAGCAAGGTTCCTGTTCAATTTGGAGACTGCATGATACCAAGCTAAGGGTCTGGCCCATAAAGATGCCCTCAGGAAATATTTGTTGAAATTAACTCTTCCATCTCTGCATAATCCTGAACAGTTAATAGACTGATAGTTATTTTGTAAGAGCAATTTAATTCAAATTAAGACACTTTAATGTGTTTTGGTAATTGAAAAAAATCTCTATAGCCCTATCCTTGAGAATTTTAGCCTAGCATGAAAAAAAAAAATTAAAGTAAAACATATAATGAGTAATTTTTAAATTAAAAAGTAACATTTTCATGTGGATAGTACAGCTTGGGGAATCATAAAACCCTGGTGATAAATTTTGTCCATCTTACTTCAAGCTAGTGACTGCCTTGAGTCCAACATTTAACTCTTTGACACTTGAGTTTTGTTTTATTTTATTTATTTATTTATTTATTTATTTATTTATTTATTTATTTATTTATTTATTTAAATTCTTACCAGAGGATATTTTTTCCATTGCTTTTTAGAGAGAGTGGAAGAGGGAGAGAGAGAAAGAGAAACATCTGTGTGAGACAGACACATCAATTGGTTGCCTCCTGCGCTAGCCCCAGTCAGGGCTGGGGATCAAGGCCGCAACCAATGTGTGCCCTTGGCTGGAATCGAACCCGGGATGCTTCAGGCTGCTGGTCAACGCTCTAACCACTGAACAAAACTGGCTAGGGCTCAAGTTATATTTTTTACAAAAGAAAAATTAAATACTGTGTAATGTAGTGCCATGTATGAAGAAGGCAGGTGTGGATATGTTAAAAACAAAATAAAAAATAAGCAGAAACACTGGAGAATGTATTTAAGGAGGAAAGATACGATGACACTTCCCATCATTTTTGTCCCCTCTGCATGTTTTACAGACTTTGACTCTGAACAGAATATCTCCATCCTGTCGTTGGTTGTGAACCACAGTGCCATTGCCATCTAAGGCTTTTGATGCTAACTGCACGGAGCATTTGCATAGCACAGTAAGTGAATTCCCTCTTTAATAAGGAGAAAAGGCTGTTATCCAAATTCTGCAAGAAATGTGTCTCTAAAATGTCAGTATAAAAATAATCCCTCAGTAATGATCGTTTTTTCTAAACCATGTAGGTGAGAAGAAAAATATTAAGGGAAATCTTTTTGAGAATCTTGCATTCTGGGTCTGAAACAATGAAAATGTTGAGGGAAATCAACTGAATTTAAACACTTTGAATTTTAGTTCCTTTCCCCCCTGCAGCTTTATTGAGGTATAATTGACACATAAAATGTATGTACTATATTT